TGGCAATCAGCCAAGGCTCTGCCCTGCTCTGCAGGCCTGTCCTTTTGCTTGTCAGAGATCCAACCAAACTGAAGCCTGAATTTCAATCCAAGTGAAATATCTGAGCCAAAAATAAAAGCCCAGAAGGAGAAGAACCCTACAGGAACAGTGCAGAAGCATTCAGTGACCTCAACTCAGGGTAGGGGCCTTTAGCAGCTTCCTGTAACCTCCCTGTGTACAGCTAGAATCTGGAAGGGTGCAGACAAAGCCAATGGGCCTGTCTCTAATTGGTCTCACATCATCAGCATTCCAGAACAGGAAACTGTCTGCAGCCAGGAATTCTTGCTTCTTTGCCATAATATTTGAGAAAGTGAAACTTTTTCCCTGTACATATTTAGTTCTGCTAGTTTGCGGCAGGTTGGTTTTCTTGGTTCGAACAGCTATAATAAGAACATCATGTCTGTCCTATCTCTTGGCTATTAGACTATTAGATTTCTAGGTTATGAACTTCTTTCTCACTTGCCTTGAGTCAGTAAGCTAATGTTTAGGTCAAAGACTTCATAAAACGCATAGTCTCATTCTGTGGTACATTTACTAAGACACAAAGTGATATTTATGTTGCCCCATAATAGCGGAGATAGATGTCCCTTTGCTGCTGTCCTAGGAAGGGGACCAATTTGCCAGGACACACTAGAGCTTCCCCAGAAGCAGAACCCCGGTCCCTCCCTCCTAGTCCTATCCTATGGTGTATGCACCGGGTTCAGTCCAGGGTAGCTGCTCCACTGGTTAAAACACAAAAATACTTCCATACAGAGTAATAGATGTCTGCTGCCTCTAGCTGGCTCCCCTGAAATGCCCCCAGAACATTTAACAATTCTCTTTTTCTTGTGAGGTGAGGGAATCCTGGTGGAGGTTGGGAGAATGCTTAAAAAGGAGTCTTTAATGTTTAGTTAAAATTTTATGAGATAGGAGTAGAATCAGGTCCTTTTGATAGAGCTGTATATACAAGTTTATATAAAGCTATTTCATAGCTTGATTAATCAATGCAAATAAATTAAATTAAAAGTAATGCTTTACACTTTAATTCAGTCCCAGCTTATCAGTTCAAGACTTCCAAGGAGGAGAGAGCAAAGCGGCATTTCCGCTCATTTATCCCTAGACCTTGGAACAGGAAAATTTGGAGAGAGGAAGAGACAACCCAGAGAAGCTTCGCACCTTCTCTCCCTTCCACAAAATCTGCAAGTTGGAAGGGACCTTAGATTCCATCTAACCCCACCTCATCGTTTACTTCTGTGGAGAGCGAGGTTCAGAAATGGACCCACGAGCCCTGTGATGCCCAGGCCGACTTGGGCCAAGGACTTGGGACTCCTCACTCAAGTCGAGCTCTCCCTCTCTGCAGCAGTGTACGACCACTCTGGCCAGTGCATTACCGGTCACTTTTTCATTGCAGAAGTTACTGAAACCTAACTGGTTTACAGTTACATAAAAGTAACTTATTTTGTGAGGCAAATGTGAACAGTTTGGTTTTGATTTGTTAGATGACCTAGGTAAGGCATAAAGAAGCAGAAAACAGCACAAAGAAACAGCCCAGAGGTGTTCTGCCAAAGAGCAAGCAAGTGTGACTGAGGGCCAAGCACCGAGATGGATTTGGGGGTAGATTGAAAATCCAGAGTAAGCAGATTATAAGAATACACTAGGCTAGGCCTTACTGGCTGGTAAGACTATGAGCCAGCAGGTGACACTTGCAAATTCAGTGTGGGAGGTGCTGTTTCAGGGCCTCCTGATGCCTTTTCCAGGTAGATTAGATTAGTGGCTCTCAACCGGGATGGTTTTGTCCCCTCAGGGCATTCAGCAGCTGGAGATATTGTTGGTTGTCACAACTGGGCAGAGGGAGGATATTGTTACTGGCATCTTGTCGCTAAAGGCTGGGGACACTGGTAAACATCCTACAATGCTTGGACAACTCCCCACATCAAGGAACTAGCTGACCCAAATGTCAGTAGTGCCAAGGTTGAGATCCCTAGATTAAGTGATGCAATAGATATTTTCATGAAAAAAATGGAAAGACCCACTGGATGACTTTGTTCAATAGTAAATATGTCTCCCTGTAGCTGTATTCTCTATGACATTGGGAAAGGGGGACGTAGGTCTTTGTTTTCTGTGGTGTACGCCAACAACCAAAAAGAACTGAAACCGCTCACAGCAGGGCTGGATGACTCAGAAATGAAGACGCCGCTTTCATTTGACGGATCACACAGGAACACCAAAGGGACGTTTCTCTTTCTTTACCTGTTGCAATTTTCAGCAGAGACGATTACATTAGTAGATTTGCTTTATATGAAAGATGTATTCCTGAAAAGTTGTGTGCCTTAAATCATATTTTAAATACAGTCAGGAAACTCAGTAAACACCCAGGAGCCAGTGAATCTTTTTAAAGTGAAAAATCCTTTTTAATAAAGTCATATTTTTGAAGAGGAGCGAACCTATATATTATATTTCTTAATGTAAGTATTTCTTCTGCACATTACATTTTTTATTACAGAGCTCCATAATTTTGTGTAAGAGAACAGTTTCTCTTTCTCCTTCCTTTTCTGACCCGTATTCTTTTCCTATAAAGAGAAAACAGGGATTGCAGGAGGGAGTAACCAGAGACTCTCCAAACTTGGACAGGTCATTGATCAGTCCATCCATACTACAGTTTAAAAGATGCTTGCTGGGTTACAAATTGTTAGAAAATAGGATTGGTACTATTTTGAAATCATTAGTTTGTTTTTTTTTTTATCTCATGATTTTCTTCAGTTACTGACCTTTGCCTGGAAAGAACAGGTGCATTCAGTCCCTCCATCACCCCGTGGGTGTTTGTTGCACCAGAAATATCCAATAAGACTCAATCTCTTCCCTCATGGGGACCTGGTATCAGCAGAGATAAGGGAGTGGTACTAAAGGAACCTCCCATCACCCACTGCCCCGGGCAATATCCCTGCAGGGTATAAATCACTCACTAACCCAGCAGGGCAAGAGGGGAAGGAGGAGGAAATGTATTTGAGAAAAGCTACCATTAGTGTCACTTTAGTGACAGGAGGTTACAGAGGTGTGACCCAGTGAGGGAAAAAAGCCATTGCCACTAGGGCGGAGCTGGCCCCAGGTGAGAGCGGTGCTCCGAGGCCTGGGCTGACCTTCATCCTCTCTGGAAGGAGAGAGGGGCTGAGGAGAGAGGAATGCTAAAGGTGACCCTGCCAGGACCAGGACAGCACCAGTGTCGAGGAAGCAGGTGCTAGAGTCACCTGTGTGTTTGGCGGGGGGGGGTCACACTGACTTTGGCAGGGCCCTTCCATCACAGCAGCCCAGTGGGTAGGAAGAAGGTCGCCATGACAGCGTTTTACAAATGAAACCACTGCACCGAGGAGGACGTAATAGCCTGCCCATGATTGCTCAGCTACAAAGAAACACTTGTGATTTGACACAGGAATTCTGACCAGAGGCCCTGTGTGTCCCTGTCCCTGCACAACAGAGCCCTGCTCTTGCTCAGGTGACCAGGCCTTGAGTGGCACCCAGTCAGCACTGCGGCAGGACTGCCAGGAGTTCTGGGTTCTAGTCACCACTCCATCTCCAGCTCACTGCCTCCCTGGAAGACAATCTCTAGGCCTCTTGGAATTTCAATTTCCTCATCCAGGCAATGAGGGGGTCGATTGAGATGTCCTCGGGTCACTGCAGTGACAGAGGTGAAGCCTCCCAGGAAGGGACTGTGCCAGACACTTTATCTATGATGTCATTTGAGGCTTGAAGCAGCTGTGAGCTGAGATGCCAGTGTTATCTCTGCTTAGCTGGGAAGGGAGCTGGAGCAGAGGAAGGTGTTTCCCCTAAGTCACTACATCCTCTCCAGCGTATGAGGGTGGGTAGGAAGATAGATGCTCTTTAGGTCAAACCCTCTGAATCCTGAATGGTGCTAGTACTAAGACCATGGCAGCCTGGGCAGTAGTGACCCCAAGACCTTCCTGTGCCCAGGACTGAATCTCCAGACGCAGTAGGAAAAGCGAAAGAAGCCTGAGGCTGAGCCCCAAGGACTTCTTTCACAGCCCTCTTTGCACCCTCCTTGGATGCTGGTGGCTGAACAAAATCATGCAGGTGCAGTTCCCTGGGCTCCTAGGACAAGGTAACAGTCGCTTGTCACTTGTGTGGAAGGATGAGAACTCAGTCCACATCAGCGAGCGGCTCACTGCAGCAGCAGTGGTCAAGCTGTCAATTACTCATTTATTAAAAACTTTGCAGTAAAAACAAGCTATTCAGACTCGTGTGCAAGCTCCCAGGAAGCCAGACAACAAACTAGTCATCTACCTGGAATGTCTCCTCTCTATAAATTACAATACCTGTCGTGTTGTTGCAAAAAAGAAATGTTTTCTTCTCGCTCTCTCATGCTCTGTTGCTCGTGTTTCTGTTATGAGGGGAGACTTACAAAGGCAGGAGGTTTCCCCTAATTTATAAAATACTCACGTGAGTTGACAGACCACAGGGTATCATTCAGCAAATGAAAATGTGTCAAAGGCAGTGAGTTAACAGAGAACCACATAGTTCACGTTAACTGGTGTAGAAAGCTCCATTTCCACAGCTGTACCAGGGGGTTTGTGTCTGGCAAGCAGAGCCTGTGCACTTGTACTTCCCCTTCATTTTCTGCCTCTTCACCCCAGACTCACTGCCCACACTTCAGTCTCCATGAGAGGAAAGGATCACATAGAGCTTCTAGCGCTCTGTCCAGTGTCACTGTAATCAGAGTTGCCAGGCGACTGCCAACTCCCCACAACTCACAGGCCACAGTTAGTTCTAATCAGGAAAACAAAAATGTTTTTCAATTGAAATTCAACCTTGAACATTTTGGAAAAGCAAAAAGCCCATTGCTAAGAGTCACTTCTCTTCCCGTGGGTAGGGTCCTCCAGAATAACAGATTGTGCTCCTGGCTGCCCCAGAAGCCGCCGGGCTTCACGCGAGTGCGCTTTGCTCATCCTGTCCCTGGTTGGCTTTTGCAGGTGTGAAAGCTGTGGCGCCGTTTTCCATTCTGAATGCAAAGAAAAGTCTGTCCCCTGCCCGAGGTGTGTCCGCCGAGAGTTGCAGAAGAAGCAGAAGTCTTTCTGGCAGAGGCTGAACATGGACGAGAGTCTGGAGGAGGCTTGCACTATGTTTGAGCTGTCTTACCAGAACACCTGAGTCAGGGCAGCACCGGAGACCAGGGATGCACCAATCAGCAATCCGTCAGCCCGGGGATGGCTTCCTAACTAGCCAGTTAGACCCATTTGGAAGAAGAGTATGTCTCATCTTCAGCTAGATATAGATATATATTTATTTATATGTATACACACATACCTATACGTCCTGTGCGTATGTTCTGTACAAATCGTTGTCTAAAAGGTCCACAGAGCCTCTGCGGCTTGAAAACTACCAATAGCTGAATTACACTTAGCCATGAATTTCAGCTGCTTGCTCCCAGGCGAAACGTGGTGTATACACCGTGCTTTATAGTTCAGACTCTTTTTTGATCTCTTGGGGCATTTTATTACACAAGACATAAGAGGAAGCATTTCCTGCAGAGTAACAGCTTCAGGTTATTTTTGTGTTATTTATTGTTAGCCTTTACAGAGGCTGAGGCAACAGAGGCAGGCACCTGTCATCATCTGTTTCATAAGAAAAATCTTCAAAACACAGGAATGACTCTGGATCCTTCCAGGACCCGGTGTCCCTGGCTCTCCTGCCTCGGTTCCTCCAGCGGAGGTGGGGATCATTAAGGGGGGGGCGTGCAGGCTCCCCCTGATGGAAAGCGTTCATCTGTAATTTACAAGGAGAGCTGCTCTGGTTTTGAAGTTAATCTCATAAAGTTTATTCCTGAGAAAAGAAGAAACCTCTGACCAATAACCGCATGTGGTCAGTTTGTTTGCTGGTTCAAATCCCAACGCCCATCTGATGATGTGACACCCTTCCATTATTTGCCAGGTTGCAATCACAGCTCTCTTAAGAACAGTTTTCTAAGGGTATCATGGGTGGTATTTATGATATTTTTCATGGTGCTGGCTGGAGGAAATGTCCTGTAACTGTTATTAAAGACACCGATGTGTAGACTGGTAGACAGGGTACAGATACATGGTACTTAGGCTGCGGATCCAAGAGCCGGTCTTCAGTTTCTTTTCAGAGAATCCTCTGTACACAATTTCTACCTATTCTTTTTAAATGTTTTATTTCTCATTGTTCTTCGCGGCACTTTCATTTTGAACTTTACTTTGTCAGGTTAACCACTCTTGCTTTTACATTTTTTAATTATTTTTAAAAGTCAGAGTAACGTGGAAATTTAAAATACCAACTGTAGACTATTAAGAAAATACCAAACTTGCGATATAATTAATGAATTAAATCTAATATTATTTAAATAAATGAAAATACACATAGAGATTTGCTACCTTATAGTCAAACAAGAAATGCTGAAATAAATAATAGGATAAGAATAAGGATGAATAAATAATAGGATAAGAAAAAGGATGAATTGCTTTGCTAGCTGAAGGGCAGTGTTTTCCTGCTGCCCTGCCCTTGTAAAAGCCAGTGTGGCAGTCGCTGTGCCCCACACAGCCCTCGGGACAGCACTGGAAACCCGACAGCGCCACTCCTTCCATCTAAACTCTTTCCAGAATAGGAAAATATGCTTCTGACAAACCAATTCTCAATAGACTATGAGCAGATGCTGAATTGTTCGCACTGAGCAGATGCCTTCTATGCCTTCATGGTTTAGTAGTTGCCCTGCTCTCAAGACCCAGGGAACGCATGGCTCCCAGGATACGGTACCTTCTGCCCCATTGCTCCTGTCCTTACACCCTGCTTGCTCCAGATCCCAACTCATGATATTTCTGTCCATTTAGAATGTGACACTTCAGGCTGACTTCTGTGCAGTTAAAGGTAAACATTTTACCTCTCAACCCACGCCAGGTCCGTAAGCCCTACACCACATATTTCAACTTAATAGCTCAGCACCACGCGTGTATTTATTTTCTCACCATACAGTAGCCGTAACCAAGGCATGAAAACTTGTTAAAAGGCCAGGGCCCTATTCCTGGGATGCCTCATGGTGCCTTTTACTCTGAAAAAAGCAGGTTGACTTTCCGCCACTCTAGTTACAGAGAATGTTGCACACGAAAGGAAAAGGGTGGAAAATCTCAAACACTTGGCAAACAGGCAGACAGATCTGATCATCTCTTCTCCTCCTTCCCTTCATGAAATACAGTATTTATATTTTCCAGCCTCAGAAAAGATAGCAGAACACGATCTTTCACAAGAGAATTATAGACCTGCTTATTATAAAACAGATGTGCTCCCATGGCAAAGTGCCTTCTCCCTCCGCCCCCAGCTCCCTGTCACTGTAGCTTACTTTTGCCTTCCCTGTAATTAATGTATCTGTGATTCCAACTGTCAGCGAGGCCATTCCCAGCACACTGCATTGGAGGCCTGAAGTGCGAGGCATCCCCTCCCCTTCCGATGTGTTTGCTCTAGGTACAGAATTTCCTGTCCCAACTCACAGGCATCCAGGGTCAGACCTGCCGTGTGTCAAGGGTAAGATTCTGGATGCCTCTTCAAAACGCCTTTGTTCTCACCAGTACCCCTGTAGAGGGCCCTGCTAAATATGAGCGGTCCCTGCAAATGTGTAGGGAGAACTTTCCACTCGCATCGTTTTCTGCTTATTTTCAAAAGGGGAAAAAAAAAAATAGATGTGCTATCACCATTAGCTACCCAGAACTGGAACCGTCTCCCGGCTGCTTCTGTTTCTTCTCCTTTTCGTACAGTCCTGACAGCCTGGTTGGTACCAGCCACAAGCCTATGACATTCTCATTCTCTGCCACCACCACTCAAATCTGATAGGACAGAGCGGAGCCAGCTTAGGAGTTGTGTCTGCCGTGAAAATTCACAATTGCTGTTTTCAACCCAGAATGCCTTAGAGCACATGAACACCCTCACTGTTCTCAGCCCTAACAAGTCACCTGGTACACCGTTAGGGCATTGTTCCACTGCTTAGAAACTGTCGAAACAAAAGCAGATCTGTGGATTACCACCTCCTTAAGACCATGCTAATACCTGCTTTTCCTCGTGTTCCATTTTTCATCTCATATTAAATATCTTGCACATGAAGCATATGAGAAAATGGCCAATTAATCTCCTGGAGCTGGCCGCTGACGCCGGGAACCGCTTTCCACTGAAAGGCCCATTCCCTGGTGTATCACTGGAGGAAATCCCTCCTAAAAGTGCCAGAAACTCATGTGTGATATCGTCCAACCCTGGTGAAATGTTGGCATCTAACCCCGCAGTAAAGAAGCCAGTTCCTAAAATAGACCTCATTCTGCACTGCTGCAGGAAGGCCACAAAGTGCTTAACAAGCAGGCAACTGGAATGGGAGTAGTGTTCTCTCCAGGGCTGCTTTTCCCCAAAGCTGAAAGCCTCTTTATACAAAAACCATCTAAACCCTCATCGGCCCGCTTTGCTGCACCGCCTTTCAGGAGCCATTTCCGTGTCCGTAGTGCTAAGGCTCGTCTGGATGGGAGCTGTAATGTTGGCTGAGCTCAGAGGGTAGTTGCTTGTCTTTGTTCCCTCGAGTCTAGGCCTCTCCCAGGAAGGGAACACAGCTAGTGCCTGGGATCTGTGGTCTCCAGCACGGCCGCATCCTTCAGACTCCTGAAACGGGACTGTGCTGTGACTTCGTTCCAGCTGCAGTGAAAACTGAGGTGTTCATGTCACTCCAGTTGCCGAATGCAGCCTTTGCTAAGCTAGAAGTCACTTTGGACTGAGTCTGGCCTCTGATTTCCTCTCTGCGTGTCGTTGGCACACACTGCACCACACCAGATAGTTTCTGCACCTCCCCAGAGAGGCTTGGCTTCCAAACCGGGGGACAAGAGCAGAGGGGTTCTCTACACATGGGGCAAAAAGGCCATCCATAAATTAATGTATCAAGGGGGGACTGGCACGATGCTCCCACACTGAACACTTACGCCGAGGGCGGCAGCGGAGAAGCAGAGGGGCATCTCTCCTCATTTAGGGCAAAGCCTCGCTGCTGCTCATACGTTTGTGCAGAATTATTCGTCTCTTTTGATCTGACCCACTTTATTGGAAGAACTAGATTAGGGAATAAATCGTCGACTCCTGATTCTAATACTGGCCTGGCTTCAACACAGAAGCCATCTGATTTTCCGACTTCTCGTGGTCAATAGAGATGTGCCCAGTTTTTGCCCGTCTTCTTTCTTGAGCTTTCCTCCCTGCTGCTTTTCCTACTCTGAAATAATGTGAAAATAGAATTGGGGACAAGACTGAAAGAAACAAACCCCTCCTCCTCGGCACGACCTGGAGAGCCAGGTCGTCAGTAGCCCTATCCATTTTCCTTCCCTCGGCACTTGGTAGTCACAGACACCTCCCACCACTCTCTGCCCCCGAGTCTGTAGACCCGACTGCTGGGGGTCGAGTCCAGTGACGGATGAAGGAGCTCTCCACTTAGTCCAAACAGACGAATGCTGATTTGAACCACATGGGACAGTGTTTTGACAGTTAAGTCACAGCAGTCTCCCTAGTGGTAGGCAATTCTAATTTCATTGTATTCAAAAATCTCTGACTCAAAGGTTTTTCTTTAGCATGTTTTATTGAGCGCATGGCTGAGGTAAAATTCAAGTCATTAGGTTCAAGGCAAAAGAAAAGCCCGGAATTCCCTCCTAAGCACCTATAGTGGGCAACTGTTTTATTTAAAGTGGGCTTCAAATGCTCGTGTTTCGTGGCACGTTCCTCACAGAGCGGCCTCTGGTGTGACAGGAGGCATGGTTAAACTCCAGGAAGCCACTGCTGTTTGGCTGTGGTTCCTCCCTGTGGGAATAGAAGCCACTGGCTGCTCATCTTGTTGGGAAGCTCTCAAACGAAGCCAGTTGTTGCCCAGGATAGAAGGTTCAGGCACCAACAGCAACCCTTAGGGCAGCGAGGATTTCCTCCTCCTGGCCGTGAAGCTGCCAACTAGCCCCTCGCCTCTCCCTGATCTCCCTGCCCCAGTTCTGAGCTCCAGCCCAGACTGAGGCCTTGTGGCTGATAACAGCTGGTGGACGCCTGGGGCCTGGGGCCCCTTCTCCACGCCGGCCTTCCCATGTGGAATTTCCCAGTAGGAGTGCCTTATAGTACCATCTAGTGCTTCTAGTCTAGTCTGTCGGACCCACTTGAAGCTGGTAGGACCCTGCAACTAAACACGGATCCCTTTGCTTCTCCCCTGTTGGCTACTCTCGAACAAATGCGCTGGGAGCCTGTGCACCCCTCCACCCGCGTCAGACCTTTTCATCCATTTAACCTGGTGCCTTAACCTCCTGAGTCTCTAGAGGGACTCGCGTCAGGAAGCGAAGTGAAAGTGGATGGTACGAACAGTGGCTTCTTAGTGCCATCGGCACTTTAACCAGAAAATACGAAAGACACAACCCCACGATGATTTCACTTTGTTTTATGCTGTTTTTTAATCACTCTTTTTGTTCGTTTGCTTTCATTAGCCAAACTCAGGGGAATGTCATGATGTCATCAAGGCCAATGGGTAGAGAAATAAAACCAGCTATCCAGAATTGAATCTGTAAAGGCAGCGAAGTTAGCTTTTTTCAGGTTCACAAATTACCCAAACACAGGATTTTCTTTTCCTTTGCTGTATAAAGGTTTTCTTTGTATTTTGGCACCTGTTTTCCAAATGGGAAGTGGGAAGCCTCTTGGAGAAATGGTGGTGAAAATGTCTCTGTGCGGTGTGGGCAGTCCACTGAGCTCTCAAATTAGTCTTCGGCTGCTGGTGGCCTACTTGCTGGCTTTGGTCACCCATGAGAATCTTACTGTGAATAGCTACTAGCCTACCATAAAAGATTTAAGAAAAACACTGTTTCTTAGGAATGGTAGGTAGAAGAAGGGAATGGTCAGAGGAGGGAAAACGCTTAGGTTGCAAATGAAGAACCCTGAACATGGCCATGGGAAGACCCCCGTACAGCTCACACTGCTGGGTGGGATCGCGTGCTCTTCCCAGGTTCTGCGCCTGCAGTACAGAATCAACCAGAGTGCCGAGTTGGAGCTAGTATGTCACTCTGTTCCGCGGTGTGTAATAGCTAATGTGCTAACATACATGTGCTCTTTCTGTTTGCTGGATTTTATTGCCTTTTATTTCGGCATAACATCCAGTTTTTTGTTTACATCCTTTTTTAAACATCAGTAAGTATAATAATATGAAATGGAAGTTGTACTGTTGAGAAGACTCCTAATTTTATGGTCATCTGTCACATAATTTAAGTGCACCAGTTCCTCATGTATAAAGTGATCTCTCTCAATAAACAATGCAGAACATGCTTTC